GCCGCAGCCAATCCAGCGCGCCGGCCCCTCCCCTTCCCGCCTCTCATTGGCTCGCCCCGAATGCTGTCCCCGCCCACCCCCGCAGAGCCGCGGAGGGCGCGGCGGGTGCGGGCGGGGGAAGAGTGTCCGCGGGCGGCACCCGTAGGGCGGGGGCTGAGGGAGCCGGGGGGGCTTAACCTGAGGAAAAGCGGGACGGGGGGGAACCTTCGGGCTCTCTGCGACCCCCTGACGGGAGCGGGGAGCCAGGCGGGGACTCTGCTGGCAGGGGACAAGGGACAGGATGAGGGGGAACGGCCTCAAGCTGCGCCAGGGGCGGTTCGTGTTGGATATTGGGAAAATTCCCCCATGGAAAGGGGTTGTCACCGCTTCCCAGGGCAGTGGTGGAGTCACCATCCCTGGGAGTGTTCAAAAAACACGTGGATGTGGCAGCTGAGGACGTGGTTTAGTGGTGCTGTTCAGCTGGATGCCATGGAGATCCCATTTCCAACTTAAACAATTCCACGATTTTACGGCTTCAGCGCCGAGAAAAAAAAACAACAAAAAACCAAAAAACCAACCAACCACGGCACGACCAGCGCCTGTCAACACGATTTATTTACATCACAAGAGCCCCCCACCTTGGCACAGCACCACAGCGTGGGGCACGTCCCTCTAGGAACAGCCCCCCCCCTTCCCTCTGCCAAACCAAAATGTCCTTGGGAAAAGTAAGACTCAAAAGTGTCCTTGGGAAAAAGTAAAAGACTCGTCACAGCGACGCCCTCACCCCGGGGAGGGAGGTGGATGCAGCAGGAGCCACTGTCTCTGAGCGATGAGCCTTCCAAAAATGTCCTCTGCCCCCCGAGCTCTGCCAGCACCCATCCACGCCAGGTCCTGGTGGGATGTCAAGGTCCAGCCGCCTCTCCAGGGGGGTCCTGCTCGCCCCCGAGCCCCCCGTCGTGGCCCTGGCGCTGCCGCCCTGCCCACCCCTCCCGCAGCTCCTGGTACAGCTCCTGGTGCTCCTCCTTCCAGCGCCTGAAGGTGTCCGAGGTGAGCGAAGCCTCTCCCAGCAGCTGCTCCAGCGCCTCCAGCTCCACCAGCTTCGCCTGCCCGGCACAAGGGGGAGGTTTTTGGGGCGGCCACCCGCGGGCAGGGGGGGTTTGGGGAGTGGAAATCGCGGGGCTGGGGGGGTCCCACCTTGAGCGTGCTCTGCAGCGCCCGCACGGCGTGCACCCTCTCGTTGATGTGTGGGTTCTTGTTGCGCCGCAGGAAGGATTTTCGGCACTGCTCCTGCGTCAGGAACCGCCGCTGCCCGATGAGGGACACCCCGCCCTGGCTCAGGCACCGCATCAGGCTCTCCAGGTCCTCCCCGGCGGGGTCTGGGGGAGGGGAGGGGGGCACTGGAGCAGGAGGGGAGCCCCAAAACCCCACGGGGCTCCCCCCACGTGTGAGTGGGAGGGGGGAGTGCAGAATCGTGGAAAGGTTTGGGTTGGAAGGGATCTGAAAGTTCACCCAGTTCCAACCCCTTAGCACGGCAGGGATGCCTTCCACTATCCCAGGTTGCTCCAACCTGGCCTTGGACACTTCCAGGGAT